CGACAAAGTGCTCGGACACTTGAATTGTAAGAACAATAGTTTCCAGAGCCTCGTGTGGCCCGGACTGGCTTCAAATTCACTCTACGGCATGGATGACTTGAACTTCTGATTCTCCTGTCTCTACCTCCTGAGTGCTAGGATTCGACGCATGCACCATCATGTCTAGTTTATGCCATGCTGGGGATAGGACCCAGGGCTTCATTTAAGGCAAGCAAACACTGTCCCTATCAAGGCCTCTCCTCAGCCCCTAATGTGCTTTGAGACTCATGGTATAAATAATGCATCAACTGTTCCAAAAGCAATGGCCTGCTTATTCCCTCATCTTTCAGGTCTGCTACTGGAAAAAAAAAATCAATTATTCTGATAAAGTTTAGTCTTTATAGCTACTCATTCAATTAACATTTTCAAGCACTTTACCCAGAAAGGCACTTGGCCAGGAGCTGACAGAGAGACAAAGACGAAGCACAGATCTAACCCCAGGACCTAATTGGATGCTACAAAATTGGAAATGCTCCATAAGAATAATATGTCCTGAGTGCAGGAATAATTTAGAGAAGCTCAGGACAATTTTATGCTTAAATGATCAAAATTAAACTTTGAAGAATGGATGCCAGTGAATGGTAAATTACTTCAGACGTAATGAGTAGCATGAACGGAGTCAAGCTCTGGCCGAGGACCAGCAATTTAAGGAAGCTGAGGCTTTGCAAACGAGAGAGGAGGTAGGGCAGGAAGCACAGACGGGGCTAGCTCAGGAAGGGCCTTTGGAGGCAAGCTAATCATCTGGATTTATTAGGCAGGAACAGGAGAGACAGTGGACATGTGGAAACAAGGAGTAACATAATTAGAAGACTCGGGATAAACAATGTCACTGTTCCCTGCTAACTGCCTGCTTTATCAAAGTCTTGAGTTAAAAGTGACCACTGCACAAGCTGAGATACGGCCCAGTCAGTGGAGTGTTTGCCTTGCACTCACGACTCCCCAAGTTTGATTCTTGGCACCTCAGAAGAGTAAGTTAAGAAATGAAAGGAATGTGGGAATGACAGGCATGGCGGCCCACGCCTGGGAAGTGGAGGCAAGAGGATCAGATATTCAAAATCCTCCTCAGCTACACAGCAAGTTTGAAGCCAGCCGGGTTATATGAGATGTTGTCCTTAAAAAAAAGTAAAAACAAGAACCGGGCATGGTGGCGCACGCCTTTAATCCCAGCACTCGGGCGGCAGAGGCAGGCGGATCTCTGTGAGTTCGAGGATAGCCTGGTCTACAGAGTGAGATCCAGGATAGGCTCCAAAGCTGCACAGAGAAACCCTGTCTTGAAAAACCAAAATAAAAAAATAAATAAAAAGAAAATAAGTGATCATCCACAGTGAATTATTCTTCCTGCTTGTCCCTCACTGTACCAGCTGGGGTCCTCTAAGGCTCTACCACTAAAGGTTTTTGTTCTTGAGATAAAATTTTTCTCCTGCTCCAAATGTTTGAGTAATCATTTCTGGCTACTAGAAGTGTGGCTTAAAACACTTTTACTTTCTACATCTAACCCAAATGCTTCCAGAGCCAGAAGGGGAAGGGGTCATTGCATCAAAATTCTCAAACCACAGCCAGAAAAATAACCAGCCACATCATCCCCATGGTCATGATCCAACCACTCACTACCGTAGGTTAGAAGCGGGTGCAGGTGCTTCACCAACTTTGGCTGATCACCTTCCTTCATGGCTGAGCCCTTCCTGGGCATCAGGCCCAGCTGCACCATGACATCATCTTTTTTTAGGGACCGAGGGGTTCTATTTCCAATTTTTCCATTAGGGTATTTTGAAATTACAGATGACAACACAAGTTTACTGAGAAAGGAGTACAACTTTTTATTGTTCTACCACGGAGCCAGGGCTCCATCCCCTACAACTCTCCTTTCTTCCAATTTACTTCTACTCTCCACACACCCTGCAAACATCCCCAAGTCCCATAATCGATGGATTCTCCTTTCTCTGCAATAAGTGCCTGTCTGTCTTGACAACTGAGTGGAACAGGAAGTGGGACAGACATTTTCATAAATGCTTGATACCCAGTAAGTACCTGACCTCATATCTCTGAGGTAGAAGCTATTATTATTCCCATTTTACATATGGGGAAACTGAGGCACTGAAAATTTAAAAAAGTAAATTACATATACAGTTTTTTGATGACAGATAGAATATTTGAATCCATGTATGTTTGATTCCAAAAGCTATAACTGTAATGTCTTTAATTACGCTGTTGTGGTATATGTATTAATAACTTAATTCTACCATATGCTTTTATTTATTTTTGTCATTATTATTATCATTATTATTATTATTATTATTATTATTATTATTATTATTATTATTTTGAGACAGGGGCTCTCTATGTACTCCTTGAACTCAATTTGTGAGACCAGACTGGGATTGAACTCACATAGATCTGCCTGATTCAAGGCATGAGGCATCATGCCTGGCTATTCTTTTTTTTTCTTTTAACTTTTTTATTAATTAAATTTATTCATTTATTTTACATCCTGACTGCAGTTTCCCCGGCCCCCCTTCTCCCATCCCCTCCTCCTACTTTCCCCCACCCCCACTCCTCTGCTCCTGTTTCTGTTCAGAAAGGGGCAGGCCTCCCATGGGCGTCAACAAAGCATGGCACATCAAGCTGAGGTAGGACTACACCCAACTTCTCAAGGAGACTCTAAAAGCCACACGTTATTCTTAGTTTTAAAAAGAAGGTCTTGCTATGTAGTCAGGCTGGCTCTGAGCGCACAGCAAGCCTCCTTCCTGCCTCAGCCTCACCAATTCTGAGATTACAGGCATACGGCACCACGATCAGGTAAGGGATTTCCTTTTGTAGGGCTAGGGACGAATGCAGGGTCTCACACATGCCAAGCATATGCTCTACCACTACGCAACATCCTCTGCAAATAGCATACTCTTTCCGTATGTAGGTGTGTGGATGTTGGGGTTTCTATGTGCCTGTTTGTGTGTGCACGTAGAGGCCAGAGGTCAGGATCAAGTGTCTTCCTTAACTGCACACCACCTTATTTTTTGAGACAGGGTCTCTCACGGAACCTGGAGTTCATAAATTTGGCTAGGCTGGCTGGTCAATGAGCTCTTGGGACCCACCTGACTCTGCCTCTCCAGAACTGAGATTACAGGTGTGCCTGGCACTTAAGCTGGAGATCTGAATTCAGTGTCTCCTGCTTATGAAGAGCCATCATCTCCCCTACAGCCAACCTTATTTGTGCAGTGTTAGCCTGTCTATTCCGTTTTGATGCCTTTCCCTGTGGTCTATTAGTCTTCACACAGCTTTTCAGTTTACAATGCTCTCTAAAACTTTTTCCTTACATCTCCACCCACAGGACAGCAAGGGGATGTCCAGGAAGAGCCCCAGTGAGGACCTGGTGCTGATAGTGTAGCAGAGACCAGGGGCCTCAAACCAGACCAATGATCCTTTGCGATGAACGCCCGCACAAGATGTATGGATAAAGGGGTTTACTGCGTGACTCACTGTGTCACACTGCAGCTTCCATGACAAGATTTTCCCTTTCTTCCTTTTTCTTTTTCTCCTTTTTCTATCTTAAATTTTATCTTGTTTTATTTGGGGGGGTTAGGTTGCAGGATAGAGGGCAGATGTGAGGGGACAGGAGATGGGTGTGATCAGGATCCAGGATGTGAAAGACACAAAGAGTCAATAAAAAAAGAGAAAGTTAAAAAACTTTTTTTCCTTACATTTATTTATTGTGTGTGGTGGGGTGGTGTGTGTGTGGGGGGGGTGCGTGTGTGGCGGTCAGTGGACGACTTGCATGAGTTGGTTCTTTCCACCATGTGGGTCTCAGGGATCAAACTCAGGCAGTCAGGCTGAGTGGTAAGTGCCTTTATCCACTGAGCCATCTCACTGGCCCAATTATTATTTTTTTTTCTTTGTTCAAGATAAAGAGTCTCATGCAGCCCAGGCTGGCCTTGAACTCTCTATGTAGCCAAGAATGACCTTGCATTCCTGATCCTCCTGCCTCCACTTCCCAACTGCTGGGATTTCTGGCCTTCAGCGCCACCAAACCAGCTTATGGGGGTGTGTATGGTGTGTGTGTGTGTAACATCATTTAACTCTCTCCTAAGTCTCTTAGAGTTGCTCTCACGACGGCTTTTCTTTCCCAAACCTAGAAGCTAGTGATAGAAAGACCAGGTAAGAGGAGGCTTAAAGCCAGAGATACCATTTGGACAAATCAGCGCTAGACCTGAACTCCGTTTCCTTCACTGCCAAACCTTGACTATGTTCCTGGGCTCCTCCCCGAGTGCCCAGCCTCTCCTGAATCTGAGATACCCTTTCACAATCCAAACGCGGGTTCAGCCTTGCGCTTACTTCATCCTGTGCAGACGTATGATCGTTGTCCCTTATAGCCTGTGACGCAACTCCATCCCTTAGAGCCTAAGCTTGGGGCCTGACACTCAACTCAGGTACGTGATGCAGTGAAGGTCTTCAGCGATGCCTGTCGCCTACTGAAAAGAGCTCTCGCACTCTCCTGCACACCGCAGGCACTCCACAGAAACTTCTGTTCCCCCGGCGGCCGGGGCGGGGGAGAGGCACGCGATTCCTCACCTGAGGGCTCAGCAGGGTCCTCAGGTGCTTCAACTGCATGACGCACACGGCTCTCGGAGGCTCGCTGACCGAGACAACTCCCGCCGTTACCCGGACAACCCGCCAAGCAGCGGCGGCGGCGGCGGCGGCGGCGGCGGCGGCGCTAGCCGCTGACGCACAGGCGACGTGGCGCGACACACGTCATAAGGTCACGTAGCGGGTTCGCGACCGGCGCGAACAGGCACGTGCGCAAGCGCGGCGAGTCCTAGGGCGGGGCCACAAGAAGGGGAGGGGGTGGGCGCATCATCTCCTCGACCAATCCCGTAACGGCATTGCAAACCCAAGGCAAAGCCCCACCCACAAGTCTTCCTCTCCCCGCCCCCCAACCCCACCCCCCACCCCACCTCCCGCTCCGACATCACTTGAACCCTGGTGTTTGTCACCGCTGTATCCAGCCAAGTGCGCTTTTTAGTGGCTTAAAACTCTGGAGCCGAGCAAAGCAGGGGCTACGAGAGGCGAAAGCCAATTCGTCGAACTGCAACCTCCACCCGCCCCCGCCAAAAGTTCCGTGACTTGCCCGAGGCCACTCAGTACTGATGGGCAACAGTGAATGCTCAAGGAGATACCTGTTTGAAGTGGGCAGAGGTACAGTCCCGTTTTACACAACAGGACGGGTCACGGGCCGAAGTTAAAACAGCTAGTAAACGGTGGAGCCGGGATTCAACCCAGAGCCGATAACCTTTTGATTCCCGGAAGACGATTCAAGTCTTCTTAACCCATTGTCTCCGTGTTCAGCTTCTCGACCCTGTAAGACAGTCTCCGGAAATGATCCGGGGTTTGAGTGTTGGAAGCACTGGCTAGGGAAAGGCAAGGCACCCTGTGTGGAAGCACCCTGTTTGGCCAATGGGTAAACGGTGAGTTCACGGCCGCTTACTGAAATCCAGGTCTCTTTATGGGTCAGTGCAGGGGACAGACAGAGCTTGGCTGCCCTCTTAGCTTAGAGCTAGGGGTTGAGGATTGGTTAAGAAAAGATACTGTCCTCTTTATTTTGTTTGACTGGGATCCTTTCAAGAATTTTCCTTCTAATTTCTTGCAGCGTATCAGAGAGAGCGAATGACATGCAGAAAAGGAGCTACCCGTAGGCCTTCTCTAAACTGCCCCAGGTTGGCAAGACCTATATCCCCCTAAAAGCATAGCATGTGCTCTCCAGACAGAAGCTGGGTTCCAAAGCCTTGCATGCACAGCGGTTGCCAACGGCAACGAATATTTCTCTCTCCATCACTACCTCCCGCTTGAAAAACTAAGAACGGGTAGAGGCCAGTTCCCAAAATTTTTCACAGGTAACAACACAAATAGGTCCCAGAACCCAAATTATAATTTTTTTTTTCGATAGGGGCATCCAAACCCCTTTGTTTTATTTCTAGAATCCTCTGGATATGTTACAGAGTATAAATATAAACTCCTTTGTGGATTACAATTATTATTAAGTTTGAGTGAACAGAGACATAGATGAAAGAGAAAAACAAAGAGGCACTGGTGTGCACAGGGTGAGAATACATGGCACCAAAGGACAATCCGTGGTAGCTGTTCTTGTTCGCCCCCAAGACACTGCTCAGTCCTTCTGACCATTTTCCCAGAGTGAACGGTGGAATAAAAAGAATGGGGAGGGGGTTAGTTATATAACTCAGTGGTAAAGCATTTGCTTAGTATGCACAAGGTCCTGGACAAAGATTTAAAAAAAAAAAATCTACTGGCCCTTTTATGTGACATGGCCTGGTTTCCACTGGTGCAAAAACTTCTGTGTCTTCTCATTGCCTTCCGCCATTCGACAGAGCCAAAGAAAGGAGGCTTCTAGCTTTCTGTACCCTTTCCTCCTTGTCTTTTCTCCGCCCATCTTAGACGAAAACACTGAGACAAACATCTTATGAGTCTGTTCCTTAAGTTGGCGGTGGCGTGAGGGGCCCTTGGAGAGCTGACAGGGTGTAGAGACGTCTTCAGCATACCATACAGTATACCTTACAGTCAGTTCCAGTTTGTCCAAGAACCTTTATTGGAAAAATGTCCCAGGGGTGAGATCACCCGCAGCTGGAGGGGCTGCCAGGTGAGGGGGGAGCACCTGAGGCTCCGTGGAAGACATTGGAGTAGTACAGTGTGACATCTGCCTCTAGGCCCAGATGGTTCCTCTTCCTCCCTGGAGGAGGGCAATACAGACAGAAACACCCCTCTCTCAGGCCCAGAGGCAAGCTGTAGGGGCAGCTAGTGGACGCCAAGAGTCCTGTTGCACGTGAGATGGGCCCCTATTTGGGACCTAGTGGGATAGGGTTGAATAAATGACTCTCCCCTGGACCTGGGGGATAGAAGATGTTTCATTGATATCCACTCCCAGATCCAGGGGTACAGATTCTAACAGACCTACCTTCTGGCCCTGCTCACAGTAGAAAGAGGATGGGTACCAGCCAGGGATTCTGGGAGTGCATTGTCTTGTGGGAGTCTCAAGCAGATCACCATCTTAGGCTTTCCCTGACCCCACCCCCACCCCCCACACATTATTTGTGCATCTCTCTTCTGGTTCCGGGTTCTTCATTCACCCTGTTCACTCAAACGTCGATGGTATTGATGGATGGAGACTTTTTCTGTGAAAGAAAATCACCCAAAATCTCGAATTCCAGAAAAGTAAAGGTGCCACACCTGCCTCTTGGACTCCTCCCTCCCAGACATTCCTTTCCCACCCCACCCCTCTTTTCTGCCTATTCTGCCTTTTGCTGAATACTCCTTGGCACCCAAATCACCCTTCTCACACTCACTGGTTCCCCACATCACCTGTCTTGTCCCCACTGGCCTTCCCTGAGGACTCTGTTCGGGCCCCTTCCCCTTCTCCTTGGGGTTGTTGTTGGAGTCGTTGTCCTTGATGATGTCGTACTGACGGCAGAACAGCCCAATTACAGCTGAAACACAACAAGACCATCTGAGCCGTGGCGGATCTTGACCTCTCCATTCACAGCCTGGAGGGTCCAGAGATAGTCGCACAACTCCTAGAAAAATCCTTCAATCCCTGGTGCCCGTGCAACCCTGGCCTTGCAGTAGCCTTCCCTCTTTCTCCTCAAACCTGTCCTGATTACCTCCCTCCACCGGCCCTCCCCCCACTCCCTTCCTCTGCCTTCCTCTCCCTTTTCTCCTGACAGATCGACAACCTTCACCACTTCCCACTATCACAGACCCAAGTCCCTGGTTCCCCATCCAGGACTCACCAGCCCACATGAGCAACACCACCACAATGATGACCACTTCCCCTGTCTGCAGTGGCTGCTCTCCATCCAGACCCTCCACCGTAATGTCACCTAAGAAGAGAGCCATCCTCTGGGTTACAAAGGACCCCCTGGAGAGCTCTGTTACATACAGAAGGGAGATGTTGGGGGTTAGAGTCAGCGGGATCCATCTCGCACTGAACCTGGAGTTGTAGAGTGGGCCCTCTCAGGAAGAAGCCCTTGGTGGGCAGTGTTTAGACATCAAAGGGTGATCACAGAACTTGCGCTGTGCAGGCTGTGGCGGATGCGATTTGAGTTTGGGTGAAAGGAAGCTTTTTAAAAGCCCTTCCCCCCAAAGGATTCATTAGCAGCGTCTCTCTAGCTGGTCCCCTGCCCACCTGTTTTTCTTCCCTTCCCTGGCAGTGGAACGAATTAAATCATTCTGTTCATCTGAGCGAGACTGTTATTAGCAAGTAAACCAGAGGTTAAAAGCCAGGTAAAAAGCCGAGAATCTACTAACACAGGCTCTCACCTGGGCTGGAGCTGTTGGAGGGCAGCCTGTCAGAACCCTTGAGAGTACGGAAGTGCACACGGGGCCCAGGGGGACTCTCTCCCCGGAGGCCGATGCTCCTGACCTGCACTGTATAGTCACTGTCTTCAGCCAGGCCCCAAAGAGCACAGGCCCTGGTGGTGGTGTTCACCTCCCTGATGACACGCTGCCCGGGGCCGTTCTGCCGCTGCAAGGAGATGAAGAGAAAGGAGAGCCAGCCTAGCCCCAGTCCCTGACCATCAGGCTGAACTCGGGGACTTCATAACATCCAAGCACTCCAAACGAGTAGTGTGGAGGTGACTGGAGGGATGTTCAGAGATCCAAGGGCACAGGTTGGGGAAACAGGGTGATTCATACTTGCTGGGAAATGGAGTAGCCAATGACGATGTTGCCTTCTGGGACGTCCCAGGACACAGTGGCCGAGTTGGCTCTGAGGTGAGTGACCGTCACATTCACAGGAGAGGGAGGTCGGTCTGGGGGGGGGGGGTGCCAGGGTGTTGACAGGTTAAGAGGCTTCACCTCCACACTAGCTCTGACGGACCCCCACTGCGGGCGTCCTCTTCACTCACCTGCTCGCACAAAGCCCAGGTCACAGCTGACCAGCAGGAGGACCGTGGGACTCAGATATGGGGAAAGGGGCATCAAAGAAGCCATGGTTTCCACCGAGTTCGCCGAGGGGCCCGGAGGCATCCGCTTGACATCCAGGCGGGGATCCTGGAGGAGGCACGAGTTGAGGGGCTCAAGGAGCTGCCCAGAACGCAAGCGGGATGCAGCAGCTCTCCCAGGCTGCCCACAGCCCACAGCCCATTTGCCCCGCGGCTTTCCCGCCTCCGCATAACCCCGGTGCCCACCCCAGCCCCCACCCGCGCAGTCGGATCAGCCCACACCCACCTCCCGGGTCCTCGTGGTCCGTCAGGCCTCGGGGGGCTGTTCGGTGCCCAGGGGGCGGCCCATCGCCGAAGCGGCGCTGGCCCTACCCCATCCCGACGCGGGCCCGCCGAGGCGGGCAGCGCCGGCCGAGCTGCGGGCAGAGAGGGCAGAGGCGGAGTGGCCGCGGGCCGCGGGTCTGCGGGGCCCCCAGCGTTCCCAAGGGCCGCGCGCGCGACGTCTGTCTCGGAGCAGGGGGCGTTGCCGGCGGCGAGGCCTGGCAGCCGGCCTGCGTCCCCGGTGCAGAGGACAGTGCGGCGGCCGAAACTGGCCCCCTGCAGCGGGATGGGATCGTCCGGGCCAGCCAACCAGCCAACCAGCCAGCCAGCCAGCCGCCGCCTTCTGCAGAGCTGGCCCCGCGCGCTCCGCTGCAGCCCGGCTGGGACGCGCGGGCCCGCCCCGCCCCGCTGGGGTTCTCGCCGCCGTCATCTCCCCCCCCCCCCCCACAGCCCTGTTCTCTCGGGGCTCCTCCCACGACCCTCCCAATGGCGGCCTGCAGGGCCCCTATCCCTTCATCCTCCCTGCCCTAGTAGATGAACTGACTAGGGTACCCGGACAGGCGCAGGTGCCAGGGTCTCTCGGGCACCTGAGAGAGCCCCTCCTTCCCGGCATGAAATTAGCCAAGTGGGGAGGAGGCATTCCATCTCCGAATGCAGGAGGGGGGCTAAGAGGCGAGGAGACCGAGAGGTGGAGATGATAATTGTTTTAACAGTCTCTTGGAGACTGCGTCAGCCTTTTAAGTCTCTTTCCCATTCATGATCTGATTTGATTCCGTTCTCTTTTTCATTCATTCTTTCATTTATTCAGCAAATATTTACTGATCATCTTCTCTGTGCCTGGCTTTATAAGAGCTGGAGATGACTTCAAAAGAATGTTGGGAGACGAGGAACAATTAAAAAGCAGCTCGCTCTCTCTCTCTCTCTCTCTCTCTCTCTCTCTCTCTCTCTCTCTCTCTCGTGTGTGTGTGTGTGTGTGTGTGTGTGTGTGTCTAACATTCGTTTTAGAGAAATCCATTAACCTGCGCCTCAGGTTTCCCACCTGTGAAGCATAGAAACCTCAAACAGTTGTTAGACTATCAAATGGACACACTGGACAAGGTTCTTTAGAAACCTTCCGCTACTGTATGGAAAGAGTGTTATTAATTTGCACCAACTTGTTAGTTGTTGCAAAATTCATTCAGGAAACATGGAAGTCCTTAAGTGATTCCATATTTTAGCTGAGTATGAAATCTGTGTGACACTAAATAACAGACCACTTCTCTGAGCCTGTTTCCTCATCTAAAAGCAAGGCTGTCAACAATGACTTCTAAGTGTCTGGGGATCCAGTGACACCTACCATCTACAGGAGAAAGATACTGGCTGTATTTAGGGCAGGTTCTTCTTCGGTCCTCATTCTTCTGACAGTATTTCTATTTCTGTGACTTTTCCTCTGTGATATCCAGTTCGGTGTAGGTACACCCGGGGCCCAGCAGCTTCTGATGCTCTTCTTTCTGAGAGAAGAGGATAAAATGGGCCAGTGGGGCAGGGAAAGACTGCAGGCTGACACGTGATCAAGCCATGGCCCAGGTCCTCCGATTCCTCTGACCCTGATCTCTGGCCTTTAGAGGCATTTGGGCCCCGGAGTTCTCTTGATCAGGGATTCTTTCTGGCCTGGGTGTTGTTCTGCACATCCAGGCTCCCAGCCTTCCAGAGGGCACTGTGCCTGAAGCAATGACCCTCTCCTCTTCTTCAAGAGCAAAGCAGAGGCTGTGGAGACATAGGCTATTTGAAGAGGACCCTCAGGAGCACCTATGGAGGGCTGGGAAGCTAGGGACAGGAAAGGGTGGGGAAGAGAGGGGTGTAGGGGGTGGGGCTTAGAGACACAGAGTTAATCATCTCTATGGCTCTCAGATAAGACCCTGCCAGCTGGAAGCAAAGTTATTGTCACCAGAGGAGTTTGTGTGACTGCAGAGGCAGGCAGGACAGAGTGTCCACAGTGTGGGACCATGCCAGGCACAAAACGATACCAGCATGTGATCGAGACCCCTGAGCCTGGCGAATGGGAGGTAAGGCCCTTTCTCAATTTCAGCCTTCTACCCTGATTCCTAGAATAGTTTTGAATTTGGACTGGCCTCAGCCCTAAGCTTCTGTTTCCTGCCTGTTCCTCCTCCTCCTTCTCTTCTTTTTTTTGGCTTTTGAGACAGGGTCTAGCCCAGGCTGGCCTCAAACTTGCTGCCTATCTGAGGAAAGCCTGAACTCCTGACCCCCTGCTGCCACTTTGCAAATGCTGGGATAGAAGGCACACACCCGGCATAGGCATCCTTTTCCTTGTCTTCCCTTGTGATCTTCCGTCCCTAATAGACTCGGAAACATCACATGAAGACGAAATTCTTGGTATATATGACTCTGTGTGTGTGTGTGTGTGTGTGTGTGTGTGTGTGTGTGTGTGTGTGGGCGTGCATGCTCGCAAGAAGTATGTGCCTGCTTCCACTCCCACGTCCAGTCCAGCAGGCAGAAAAGACTTTGGCTTCCTGTTCCTGCCCTTGTACCCCTTCTAGTTGTCAGGGTATGAAGCAGCTGTGCCAATCACAGAGAAGTCCAACCCACTGACCCGGAACTTGGACAAAGCAGATGCAGAGAAGATTGTCCAACTGCTGGGGCAGTGTGATGCTGAGATCTTCCAGGAGGAGGGGCAAATCATGCCCACCTACCAGGTGACCCAGAGTCAAACCTCAGACACCGCAAAAGAGATGCCAAGCCAACCACATCTCAACCTCTACCCTCCCAGACTATGACTCCTGATTTTGGAAATCCTGAGCCCTCTCCTCCATCCCAATCCACCATCCTCCGTTTTTTCCCCTCATTCCCCCCTTTTCCCATGTATTTATGTATACGGTGGAGGGATTTATTCCATGGGGAAATGTATGGAGGCCAGAGGACAACTTTTGGGAATCAGTCTGTTCTTTCATCATGAGGGTCCCAGGGATCGAACTCAGATCATCAGGCTTGGCGGCAATCCCCTTACCCACTGAGCCCTCTCACTGCCTCCCTCCTATCTTCCGTTTCTTCCTACTGATTCCTGTCCACTCTCTACAGCGACTGTACAGTGAGGCCGTTCTGACCACCATGTTGCAAGTGGCTGGAAAAGTCCAGGAAGTCTTGAAGGTGCGAGCTCTCCACCTGCTTCTCATCCCAACACTTTTGTTCCCTATAATGTCTTCTTTCTTGGGTCTCCATCTCTCATTTTTATAAATCTCAACTCTTTGGTCTTCCCTTTGGATATTTATTGTTATCTTGGTCATTATAATAGTTAATGATAATTACTAGATAAATAATACTTTATCATCAGCAGTACATTTTCTAATTTTGTTTTGTTTTGTTTTCTTGGTTTTTCAAGACAGAGTTTCTCTGTGTAGCCCTGGCTGTCCTGGAACTCATTCTGTAGACCAGGCTGGCCTCGAACTCACAGAGATCTGCCTGCCTCTGCCTCCCGAGTGCTGGGATTAAAGACATGCACCACCACTGCCCAACATACATTTTCTTTTAAAAATTATTATTGTTTTAACATGTATGGTTGTTTTGCCTGCATGTATGTGTACTACCTGAGTACCTGGTCCCCACGGAGAGCAGAAAAAGGTGTTGGATCATCAGGAACTGGAGTTACAGATGGTTGTGAGCTGCCATGTGGGTGTGGACAATCAAATCTGGCTCCTCTGGAAGGGCAGCCAGTGTCTTAATCGCTGAGCCATCTCTCCGGCCCCAGCCATGAACCTTCACACTCACTACCTTCACAGAAACCTGTGAAGTTGGTATTCTTGTATTTTTTTTTTCTCTTTCCAGACCAGAAAACAAAGAAAGGGGGATCCCAGTAGCTTGCTCGAATGTACCCAGCTAATAATTGTTGGATGCTTCTGCTTTGAGTATTTATTTTTATTTAATTGACAAAGCTGCTCCCAAGTCCCTGTTGGAATAAGTAGGAATTTTAATGAATAGCTTAGTCAGGGAGGAGAGCCAGGAGGATTTCTTTCTCCAAATCATTGTTCTTGTTTGCTACCTCACACAGCCTATGTTCTACTCAATTTTATGATGACGTGAAGAATAAGTAGTTCTAAGTCTTCCTCCATTGCTGACAAAGGAAAAAAAAAGTGTGCTTCTCCCCTGAGCTGGACCCTGGTGACCTGGGCTTCTCTCCTTCCACAGGAGCCCGATGGAGGCCTGGTCGTGCTGAGTGGGGGAGGAACCTCTGGCCGGATGGCATTCCTCATGTCTGTGAGTACGCTCATTCCCTCATTCATTTTTCTCGCTTCATTCTGGGGATGTCACCCAGAACCACAAAGCTCGCCAGAGGTCAGTTCTCTCAATAGACATCTTCTCTCCTCACCTCCATTCCAAAGGATAGAGTCTGATTTCTCTGCCCCCACTAGAGCGCCATCTTTCTCTTGTTAACCCCCGCCATCTCACGCATCGCTAATCGATCATCCCCAAGTTGCATCTTTAAGTGGGAGATTACAAAGAAGTTAGGGTTAACTATTGGTCTAAAAGACCATTCTGCATCCTCAATCCTCTAGAAATTGAGAATCCACATTACATCGTGTTTATCATTCCCTCTTTGTACCCTCTCCTCCTGGACAGGTCTCTTTTAACCAGTTGATGAAAGGTCTTGGACAAAAGCCTCTTTACACATACCTCATTGCAGGAGGTGACAGGTAAGTTACCTTGACCTGTGCATGCATGTGGCCGGAACATTTTTTTGAAACTGAATTTGAATGACTTTAGTCAAAGATTATATTGAACCTCAGTCTCCACCATTCTGCATAGCCTTATATCTGGTCCTTCACAGACTTTTATTGCCTACCTGGCCTTGTAGGTATTTGAGTTTTTTCAAAAACTCTGTGGTGTATCTACCTTGGTCCCCGCTAAACAGAAGGTGTCCATTCAATGATAGCTCCCCTCCATTCCATTCTTTCAATGTGCCCTTTCCTAATAAACTATAGGTTTCTGCTTCTTAGTCAGTGCCACCGACCTGACTGAGTGTGCACCCTTAGGTCTGTCGTGGCCTCTCGGGAACAGACAGAAGATAGCGCCCTTCATGGGATCGAGGAGCTGAAGAAGGTCTGTGTTTTCTGACACTACTCGGCTAGAGACACCCGAAGGTCCCTTTTCATAGGGTTAGAAAAACCCCAACCCCAGCCAAAGCCTGGCCCCTCCTCTGGCCCTGATTTTCTCACACAGTAGATTTGTACCCTGGTGACCTCCCTACCACCCTAACTCAGTCCTCCTCCAGGAGACCGCCCTGCTCCCGGGCACCCTAACTCACACCCCCTCCATTCCTAGGTGGCTGCTGGGAAGAAGAGAGTGATTGTCATAGGCATTTCTGTGGGACTCTCAGTAAGTGTCAGGGCAGGCTGATGGGGCCATTTGACAAGAGGAAGGGGGTGGGGTTAGAACGGCATGGAAGGTGGATTGATGAGCTGGGTGCTAGGAAATAGAAAACCAACACAAGGAATTATTTTAATTTTCACCAACTTCGATCTGTTTTTTTTTTCCCCCATGGATATGAAAAGAGTGGGGAGGGAATTCTATCTCAGAATAACTGTGCATTGATTCATCAACAGCCAAGATGGACAGATTAGTCCAGGGGTCAGCAAACTCTGCCGGCAGTCCGTGTAGCCAGCTGCTTGAACTTGTGGACCGTTTTACTGGCACGCAGTCTTAGTGTTTACTTAGACTTCATGGCCTCTTTTGTGCTTGGCTTAAGTAGTTGTACAGAGATCATAGGGTCCACAAAGCCTGCAGTATTAATCTCTGGCTCTTCACAGAAGAGTCTGGCCCCTGGCTTCCATCCCCACCGGCAACATCCGCATCCATGGGGACTTGTTAGAAATACTGGATCTCAGGCTCCAGCTGGTCAATCTGCGTTTTAACAAGATTCTCAGGATGTTTGTATGAGAACCACTGGATGAGGTTTCCTGTTAACCCCACAACAGTTTTCATTCTAAGAGTTCAGGGTGCAGAGCATTAGACCTCAGCAGTTGTATGATGAGGAAGAAGAGGACATTGGCCTCAAGGAGGTCATTTCAGTTACAATTGTGATCGGCAGTTTCCCAGCTTCACCATTTGGAGGATTTCCGTGGAGGAACATCAGAAAAACGCAGCACTAGCTGGGTGACTCTTGCCTGTAATCCAAGTACTCAGGAGGGAGAGGCAGAAGGATGGCTGTGTGTTCAAGGCCAGCATCAACTATACAAGGAAATCATAGCTCAGAGAAAAAGTAGATCTGGCCGGGCGGTGGTGGCGCACGACTTTAATCCCAGCACTCGGGAGGCAGAGGCAGGCGGATCTCTGTGAGTTCCGGGCCAGCCTGGGCTACAGAGTGAGATCCAGGACAGGCTCCAAAGTTACACAGAGAAACCGTGTCTCGAAAAACAAACAAACAACAAAAAAAGTAGATCTGCTACTTTTGGGGTACTTGTAAGAAGTAGGCTCCCCAAATAAAATTTGGGCTCAAGTCTTAACAAGCGTGCTGGGGCAGGTTCCATTCGGACCTTGGGAAACACGGAGTGGCTTCTTTAATGTGTCTTCCTTTCTTGCCCCCGCCAGGCCCCCTTTGTGGCAGGCCAGATGGACTACTGCATGGATAACACAGCCATCTTCTTGCCAGTTCTGGTTGGCTTCAATCCAGTGAGCATGGCCAGGTGAGGCTTCCGTTAGGACCGGCCGGGCCTTGGGGGAGCCCGGGAAAGGGACATGTCAAAGTCCACAGTATGATCAGCGGGAGGCTATAGTCTTGCTTGCCAAGCCTCAGAACATCAAAGTAAATAGGTGGTGGCCCTGAAGCTTTTGAAGTTTTTGTTGGTCGCTTCATTTCCAGTGGTCTCTCCTTGTTTCAGAAAGGGTGGAAGGCAGTTTACAAAGGCCACATAAGCTAGTTGGTGGTGGCACACGCCTTTAATTCCAGCACTCGGGAGACAGAGCCAGGCAGATCTCTGTGAGTTCGAGGCCAGCCTGGTCTACAAAGCGAGTTCCAGTACAGCCAGGGCTACACAGAGAAACTCTATATTGAAAAAACAAGCAAGCAAACAAAAACAAAAACAAAAGGTACATAAAACACAAATTCAAAGCAGGAGTTGAAGAAGTAAAAAGATAAGAACTAGAAGGAAAAAGCAGGTCAGGAAAGGGTATACCCCAAAGGTCTATGCTTTTATCTGGGGTGACCCCCAAGCATCTTCTCAGAGTAGCAGTGGTCCCAAGTGGCCACCCACTCCTCTTTCCATCTCCTTTATTTCATGCTCTTTCATTATCCCAGGAGCCCTTTGGCTCCTCTTTGGCTGCTCACATCCGCCCCTCCTCCCTCTTGAAGCCCTGTGCTACGGAACCACCTTCTTGGGAGGAGAGGGACAAGGTCTTGCTATGTAGCCTACCTAAGCTGCCCTATCCAAATGGCCACTTGGTCTGATCTAACACTCCATGTCGCTGGCTAATACTGTGCAGGTGTCGTTCTTTATCGATTTGGGGTAAGGCCATGAAATGTCTATTTTGTTAAAGCATCCTTGGCGATTCTCATGCAGAGCCACATTGGGGGAACCCTGCTAAATAAGCCATTGGGTCGGATCACCCTATGGCACTGAGGGCTTCCTGTCCATGAGGGATTGCAGTGAGAGAGCCTGGTTCTTTTGGAAGTTCTCTTCCAAGTCCCAGAGATTCCAGGCTTGTAGTGTAACTCATACTAAGGTGTAAATGAGTCTGTGATACTCTTAACCCTGATCCTTTTCGTGGAGGACGCTCCTTCACCCAAAATATATCTGCAGCAGCGGGTGCTAATTTCAGGCCCTGTGACTAAGTGAAATGAAGAATTTCAAACAATGTAGGCGTGGAGACCTTCCAGTTGTTCCTTAAAGTGGTGGCTCCCTGTCTTGGCTCATCTTCAGAACTGTCTCGGAAGCTCTATAAAAACACAGTTTAGGGCTTTGTGCATGCCTGCTGAGGCTAACCTCAGGGTGGATGTGGTATCCAGAACTGGATGGTTACTGCAAAACAGAACCCCTCCCCCTGGGGGGGGGTGTTGATGTTCAGCAAAGTCTGGGAATCCTAATTTTTACTGCACAATGTTGGTCCTTTTTCTGTTCCCTCCTTGGGTCTAGGGAAGCAGAGGCAGGCAGATCTCTGTGAGTTCGAGGCCAGCCTGGGCTACAGAGCGAGTTCTAGGACAGGCTCCAAAGCTACACAGAGAAACCCTGTCTCAAAAAACCAAAAGAGAGTTCAAGAAGGGGCTGGTGTAGGCCTGTAATCCGTGCTGGCGAAGCAGAGGCAGGAGGATCCCTGGGCGTGCTGGCCAGTCAGTCTAGGTTTAGTGTCTCAAAAAATAAGATGGAGAATAATTAGAGAAGATAGCTGGGGTTGGCCTCTGACCTCCACACACAAGTGCATGTGGAGCCGCACACATGTGCATACACACACATGAACACACACACCACATGCACACACACACACGCACACACATACATACACACACAGAATAAAAGAAATAGTTCAAAAATTATGAAATCTTGTCGGGGATGTGATGGTAAGGGACAGTTAGGGATGTCATGTGCAGGGGTAGCTCAGTCTTTAAGGTCCTGACACACTGATGAATTCACAAATTATCTCCCACTTCAGAAGACCCTAATTTTTCTTTTTTGACATTCCAGTTTGTAGTTAAGCACATAGACTGCACTAACTCTCTTGTCTCATTAATGCATTAATGCATTGCTTCCCTCCTGATTCATTGATTGTGGAATATTCACCAACAGATGCTACAGTTAACAGCATAACTTTATACCTCACTAGGGACTAACAATCTCCCTCAGGTAGTAAGGGTTCATTCCTTGGAGAGATTTTCAGATGTATTTCTAAGAAAGGGAAGGGTCTCAAAGGAGTCTAAGATGGAATATGAGGTGGTAATTTTTTTTTAAGATTGACTTATTTATTATGTGTACAGTGCTCTGCCTGCATGTATGCCTACAGGCTAGAAGAGGGCACCAGATCTCATTATGTATGGTTGTGAGCCACCATGTGGATGCCGAGAATTGAACCCAACTACTGTGAAGTAGTTGACCTCTGACCCCACTCTCTCACTGATCCTCACTACTAGCCGAGGTCTTTCCTTCAGAGTCTCACAGGCAGTCCTTTTTCTTTTTTTTTTTTTTTTTTTTTTTTTTTTTTGGTTTTTCGAGACAGGGTTTCTCTGTGTAGCTTTGCGCCTTTCCTGGGACTCACTTGGTAGCCCAGGCTGGCCTCGAACTCACAGAGATCCGCCTGTCTCTGCCTCCCGAGTGCTGGGATTAAAGGCATGCGCCACCACCCGCCCGGCCAGTCCTTTTTCTTATGTGTTTTTCTGGACCTCAGAAATGACCCCATTGAAGACTGGAGATCGACATTCCGGCAAGTAGCCGAGCGGATGCAGAAGATGCAAGAGAAACAGGAAGCTTTTGTGCTCAATCCTGCCATTGGGGTAGGGCCCGACTTTCTTTCCTCTATGCACCTCTTCAGGCATGTGGGAATTGCTTGCTACTTACTGGGAACCTTTGATCTTATAGTCCCTGTTCATAAATCCCCAAGGCATTTCACGTCAACCCACATGGTTTCAAAGGAGTCCTATTTTCTCTTTACCTCAAATGCTTTTTAAAAAATATTTATTTCGGCCGGGCGGTGGTGGCGCACGCCTTTAATCCCAGCACTCGGGAGGCAGAGACAGGCGGATCTCTGTGAGTTCGAGGCCAGCCTGGGCTACCAAGTGAGTCCCAGGAAAGGCGCAAAGCTACACAGAGAAACCCTATCTCGAAAAACCAAAAAAAAAAAAAATTTATTTCAAGCCTACTTATCAGTAACCAGAAGGCATTTCTAGGGTCTAGAACAGTCTAGAAGAGCTAGAACAGTCTAGAGAGTCTAGAACAATCTAGAAGAGCCAAAACAGTTTAGAGAGTCTAAACCAGTCTAGAAGAGCTAGAATAATTTAGTCTAGAACAGTCTAGAAGAACTAGAACAGTTTAGAGAGTCTAGAACAGTCTAGAAGAGCCCTTTGCCATCTATGCATAGACAGCCTTCACTAACCAACCACTGTTAAGTCTCATTTAGTCTCTTTTACAGCTTCAAATGTCAAATATGGCTTTAAAAACCAGCATGCAGTTTCATTCTTTGTTTTTGGTTTTTGGTTTTTCCAGACATGGTTTCTCTGTGTAGCTCTGGCTGTCCTGGAACTCACTCTATAGACCAGGCTGGCCTCAAACTCACAGAGATCCACCTGCCTCTGCCTCTTGAGTGCTGCGATTAAAAGCGTGCACCACTGCTGCCCATCGCCCGACGTTTTTCTTAACTAAAACTTTTGCTCCCTACCTCCCTTTGTCAGTGGTGGGCACACCCCAGAACTTCCTCTTGATCTTCACGTGAGATAGGAAGGGAAATTCCATTGTGTGTATAGCTTGCTCTTGTCTCCCGTTTTGTCTCATGTCTCATCCTCACTCTTCTGGTTGGTTTTCTGGTTTGTTTTTTTCTTTAAAGGTTTATTTTTAAAAATTATTTTTAGCCAGGTGGTGGTGGCGCACGCCTTTGATCCCAGCACTCGGCAGGCAGAGGCAGGTGGATCTCTGTGAGTTCGAGGCCAGCCTGGTCTCCAAAGCGAGTTCCAGGAAAGGCACAAAACTACACAGAGAAACCCTGTCTGGAAAAAAAAATATTTTTAGGGGTGTGTGTGTGTGTGTGTGTGTGTGTGTGTAGGTGACCATGGAGGCCAGAAGAGGTAATCAGTTCCTCTGGAGTCTCATACAGGCAGTGGTGAGCTTCCCAGTGTGGGTGCTGGGAACTGAACTCGGGTCCTCTGCAAGAGCAGTAAGCACTGGTAACCACTGGGCCGTCCTTCCAGACCTTAGTCTTCTGCTTTTAATCACTGGCCACACCATTCTCTTTGCTGCAATCTTTGTGATGTGCGGTGTTACAAATCACCACTGAGTGCCTGCTCCATGTGTCTGTCCAAAGCATGGGGAACTTGGCACTGAAGAAGGGCAAACTGCCGTAAAACACGGTGGGGGAAGGTTCTCAGAAGAGTATTCTCTGGAAACGCCCGACCCAGACGACAAGAGACACAATCACTGTGGCTTCCTCCTGAGAGTCTTGGATCCACCATCGAGACGGCCAGAGGTGGCCCTTTCCTTCTCCTCTCCTTCCGTTAAGCACACTCCAGCACCCGTTCTCATGAAACAGTCAAGGCCACCAGGAAAAGATGGGCTCAGAGTGAACATCTAGTGGGGATCACCAACCACACTCATGCCCAGGAGTCACCAATCACATTCCATGCCCAAGGGTCACCGACATCACTCCGTGCTCAGGGGTCATGAACTGGTAGACTACTGGGTTGTTCTCTTTCTCCCAGTTCCTCTTAGTGTCTTTGCCTCCTTAGCCCGAGGGGCTCAGTGGCTCCTCCCGGATGAAAGGTGGGAGTGCCACCAAGATCCTGCTGGAAACTCTGCTACTCGCGGCCCATAAGACTGTGGACCGGGGTGTTGCGGTCTCTCAAAGGTATGGAGGAAACAGACAAGTTGGGGATCAGATCCATGCAGGGGTGACGTGGGGGAGGAGGTGGGAGGTTCAGAATCCAGAGGCTAGCTTCCAAGATGCCACTCTGCTATGACATCTTTCCCTTACCAGAGTCTCTGGCCCAGGTTCAGAATGCTCAAGCCCACCCTCTTCTTGGCTTTTGTTTTTCCCACTTCAGCCCTTTTTAAAAATAGGATCCGCCGGGCGGTGGTGGCGCACGCCTTTAATCCCAGCACTCGGGAGGCAGAGGCAGGCGGATCTCTGTGAGTTCGAGGCCAGCCTGGGCTACCAAGTGAGTCCCAGGAAAGGCGCAAAGCTGCACAGAGAAACCCTGTCTCGAAAAACCAAAAAAAAAAAAAAAAAAAAAAAAAAAAAAATAGGATCCTTTCTGCTCTTATCAAAGGGGATCTTTCTCCCTCCTTCTTCCCCCACTTCCCTCCAGCAGGGTCTAGCAAAACTTTTTTTTTTGAAAAATGGGAATTGTGTCTTCCCTTAGGCGTGGGTAGGGATACCTAGGTCTTTTTTGGGGGGATACCAGGCCCTCTTTGGGAGCTAATGAATTTTCTTCCAGATGCCTTCTGGAAATCCTGAGGACATTTGAGCGGGCTCATCAGGTGACCTACAGTCAGAATTCCAAAATTGCCACCCTGATGAAACAAGTCAGCACCAGGTATGTGGCTGTGTGTTCGTAGAGGACATCTTGAGAGCAGGGCATAGTCTGCGGGATGGGTTAACAAGAGTGATGGGTCCACGTGCTGGAAGGCCTTGGGTGTTTCCTCTTGGGTTATTCATGGTGATCACGTATGGCCTGGCCTCTGACTCATTCTCAGCCTGGAGAAGAAAGGCCGAGTGTATCTAGTTGGCTGGCAGACCCTCGGCATCATTGCCATCATGGATGGAGTGGAGTGCATCCACACCTTTGGTGCTGGTAGGTCCTAGTCCTGATGCTCTTTCAAAGTATCCCAGCCAATTGGTCCCCTATCAAAGCGTTTTCCTGCAGACCCCTGAGGTTCTCCAGTGCCCTCCATAAAGAGGCATTTCAGTCAAATGCTCTTTCCATTTGAAGCACCAAATTCTACCTGGTCCTTGACCTCTCAGCTCCCACCTCAGTGTTTTGACTATAGCTTCCCACCCAGATTACCGCTCACCCCGCGTCCCACTTTCCGACCCCATGACAGCCCTTACAGGAGAGTCTTAGTCCTATCTTCTAAAGCCTGCCATTCTTTCTCTCTGATCTTAAACGTCCCAGATTTCCAAGATGTCCGTGGCTTTCTCATTGGTGATCACAATGACATGTTTAACCAGAAGGCAGAGCTCACCAACCAGGTTGGAAGACGACAGGCCTTGGGAAGTTTTGGGACTCATTGGTGTTCAGAGGGCAGTGGAGGAGTGGAGCCTGGGGGTGAGGGAGGATGAGGGGATAAATAGTCCTGGGAAGGAATGTAGGTCAGAGGTCACTGAACCTCAAAGCAGTGAGTATAGAAGGCTCTGGATTGGCCCTCTAACACTTGGCTTTAGTTCACCTTTGGTAAAATGCTACCATTTTGAACACTGATTTTTTTCCAAGTGAAGTCAGAAGGGCTGTATTAGATGTCCCCCAAGGTCCCCTTCAGTCAAGTCTGTGCTCTTGAGTGTCCTGCTGGGAGGAACTCTCCTGTCTTCTCCTGTCCCAGGGTCCCCAGTTCACCTTCTCCCAGGATGACTTCCTGACTTCCATCTTGCCCTCCCTCATGGAAATTGACACTGTGGTCTTCATTTTTACCCTGGACGGTGAGAGGGAAGATGGGATAGTGGGGTTGGAAGCGACGGTGGTTTAGAGGGGCTGCCATTTTGAGTCTCAGGGTGCCTCGTCAGAGGAGGATGTCTCAGGGATTCTATTGTGATAAAACACCATGACCAAAAGCAACTTGGGTAGGGAAGGGTTTTCTTTTTCTTTTCTTTTCTTTTTTTTTTTTGGTTTTTTTTTTTTTTTTTTTTTTTTTTTTTTGGTTTTTCGAGACAGGGTTTCTCTGTGTAGCTTTGCGCCTTTCCTGGGACTCACTTGGTAGTCCAGGCTGGCCTCGAACTCACAGAGATCCACCTGGCTCTGCCTCCCGAGTGCTGGGATTAAAGGCGTGCACCACCACCGCCCGGCTTCTTTTTCTTTTTTTAACCTAACAACTGTGATATAAGTGTGATATAAGTGATATAAGTCTATCATTGAGAGACTTCAGGGCAGGAACCTGGAGACAGGAACCAGAGCAGAAGCCATGGACGAATGCTACTTTCTGTCTTGCTCCTCATAACTTGACCAGTCTGCTTTCTTATGGTACTCAGGGCCACCAGCCCAGGGGTAGCACCGTCCATAGTGAGCTGGGCCCATCAATAATCAAGAAAATGCACCACAGACTTTCCCACAGGCCAATCTGGTGGGGACATTTTCTCAATATAAGTTCCCTTTTCCCACATGATTCTGGCTTGGGTCAGGTTGACACAAAACTACCCAACACAGAGGGACAGAGTGAGTGTCCTGGCAGGATCCCAGGGTGGCAGGAAGAACAGCTTCATAGCCCAGCCTTTTAACTCTGGTGCCTCCTATCCCATGCAGATAACCTCACAGAGGTCCAGGCGTTGGTGGAGCAGGTGAGAGAGAAGACCACGAGCATCCAGGCCCTGGTGCACAGCACTGTGGGGCAGTCCTGGCCAGTGAGTGTCCAGCAATGGGGAGAAGATCTGGGAGTGGTCCAGCCAGGCCTTCTGGAACACACCACCGGTTTATCTCTTCCTCCTCAGGCCCGTCTAAAGAGGCTCTTTCCCTCCATCATTAGCATCACGTGGCCGCTTCTTTTCTTTGATTACGAAGGGAGCTACATCCAGGTAGGTGGGGATGAGACCGCAACGCCAGCAGGAGTGGGGTCCAGAAAACCCCCACAGCTAGATGGGAAAGAGGCTTCATACCTGTTTGTCTTCTTTCCGCCCCAAGCCAGGCAAATTCTCACATGATGTGGTCTCCAAACAGAGTTGCCAAGGCAACAGGGTTCAGTTCTTTCTAGGCGTGTACAGAAAGGGCGAGACAGGCCACCAATCACCACAGGCTCATTTGTTCTCTGGGACAAGTTAATTGTTGATGCCGAAGTCATTACCACCACCCAAAGGCGTTTCTTTTGCGCAGCACACTATGCGGAACGTAACGCAGATATGACCCCATGGAGTCCTTGTGCAGCCGTGAAATGACAATCCAGGAGACACACTGAGAGGAATCATGGGAGTACTGAGCAGTTTGTGTGCACTTTGCAGTTTGGTTTGGAGCGGGCACCGGGAAATCTGGGTGTCAATCCAGCTCTGCTGTGTGTCCCAAGAAGGAAAACTTGTATCTCTGGGCCTGACCTTTTCTTACAGTCAACCTGCCCACCCTTCATGGGACAGAACCAGGGTCCAGAAGAAGTGCTGGGGGGGCGGGTTATGATCTTTCATCATTATTCAAACTGCTTTCTTCTGGAAGCTTCCAGACTTGACTGGACAGAGCCAGCACACAGCCTCACTGAACCCAGAGCTCTTACATAACTGTCTCTCCTTAGTGGGAAATCCACTCCCCTTTGTCTTTTGTTCTAAATGGCGTTCCTGTGTCGTATCCCTTCTTCTTGGCATGCTTCCCATGTTCACATTCTCCTCCAACATTGCCTGTTTTTGAAGACGTCTTCTCTGAATAACTGTACGTTCTTATATTCTTCTTCACACTTACACAATCATGATGCTTAATACAAATACAAATTATAGCCTAATGAATATTTCATATATATTATCTCAGTTTTTATAGCAATCTCCTAAGGCATGTCTGTTCAGTTTTGCCATCTCTCCAGCCCCTTATTTCTGTTTTCTTTCTCCTTCTTCTTCTCCTTCTTCTTCTCCTTCTTCTTCTTCTTCTTCTTCTTCTTCTTCTTCTTCTTCTTCTTCTTCTTCTTCTTCTTCTTCTTCTTCTTCTTCTTCTCCTCCTTCTTCTTCTTCTTCTTCTTCCTCTCCTCCTCCTCCTCCTCCTCCTCCTCCTCTTCCTTCTTTTGTTTTTTTTTTTTTTTTGGTTTTTCGAGACAGGGTTTCTCTGTGTAGCTTTGGTGTCTGTCCTGGATCTCACTCTGTAGCCCAGGCTGGGCTCGAACTCACAGAGATCCGCCTGGCTCTGCCTCCCGAGTGCTGGGATTAAAGGCGTGCGCCACCACTGCCCGGCTGTTTTTGTTTTTTTGAGACAGGGTCTCTCTGTGCAGCCCTGGCTGTCCAGGAACTCGCTCTGTAGACCAGGCTGGCCTTGAACTCACAGAGATCTGTCTGCCTCTGCTTCTTAAGTGCTAGGATTAAAGGTGTGTACCACTACTGCCCGGCTATTACTGCTTCTAATGTAGTGACATTTAAAGTTTGTCTTATTCAGATCTATTAGTTTTGTTTTTCCCTTGTGGTTTTCAATCTTTCACTTGGTGCTGGCTTCTCCTTTCCACATGGAATTGTCTGAAGAAAAGGTTTCCATTGGGACTTTATCGTACTTTGCTTTTGACTGCTATGATAAAACACTGACAGAAAGCCACTTGGGAAGGTTAAGACTTTCAACTTACACTGTACAGTCTATCATTGTGGGGAGTCAGGACAGGAGCTCAAACAGGAAGCAGGAGCAGAGGTGGGACCATGGGGGAAAAGTGCTTCCTGGCTTATTCTTCTTAGCTTGCTCAGTTTTCTATTTTCTATTACATTTTACTATTTGCGTGTGTGTGTGTGTGTGTGTGTGTGTGTGTGTGTGTGTGTGTGTGTGTGTGTGTGTGTGTGAGAGAGAGAGAGAGAGAGAGAGAGAGAGAGAGAGAGAGAGAGAGAGAGGAGGAGTTGGCTCTCTTCTTCTACTTTGTGTTTCCAGGGGATTGAACTTAGGTTGTCAGCAGGCACCTCTACCCACTGGGCATCCTCACCAGCTCTCAGCCTGCTTTCTCATACAACCCACAACCGCTTGCCCAGGGGTGGCACCACTCACCAGAGTGGGCTGGGCCCTCCCCCATCAGTCACCAGGAAAATGCCATATAGACATGCCCACGGGCCAGTCTGATGGCGGCAATTCCTCACTTGAGGTCTCATCATCCTGGGTGACTCTATTGTGTGTCAAGTTGACAAAACCCAGCACTTGCTGACCTTTGGTTGTAGGAATATTTTTGATACTTTTTTTTTTTTTAAAGATTTATTTTATTATGTATACAGTGTTCTGCCTGCATGTATGCCTGCAGGCCAGAAGAGGGCGCCAGATCTCATTACAGATGGTTGTGAGCCACCACGTGGTTGCTGGGAATTGAATTCAGGTCCTCTGGAAGAACAGCCAGTGCTCTTAACCACTGAGCCATCTCTCCAGCCTGATCTTCACTTTTTTTTTTTTTTTTTTTGGTTTTTCGAGACAGGGTTTCTCTGTGTAGTTTTGGTGCCTGTCCTGGATCTCGCTCTGTAGCCCAGGCTGGCCTCGAACTCACAGAGATCCACCTGCCTCTGCCTCCCGAGTGCTGGGATCAAAGGTGTGCGCCACCACCGCCTGGTCTTCATTTTTAATCTGAAACATTTTGCTCTACTCACCAACCCTTTGCCACATTTACTTCATCCATTTCTTTTCCCTAGCTCATCTGAAAGGTAAGTGAAGCCATCTTATACTTCACAGTGTGCCAGGCAGAGTGGCACACGCCTGTAACCCTAGCACTTCAGGGGCAGAAGCAGAATCAGGAAGAGTTCAAGGCCATCCCCATCTACATAAGAAGTTTGAGGTCACCCTGAGTTACATGAAACCCTGTCTCAAAACAAAAACAAAAACAGCCCCAAACTTCACATCCATCACTTCAGAATACATCTGTTCCGGGCAAGGGCATTTGCTGCTGTAAGTATGATATGATGACCCACTCTGGGAATGAGAGTTAATCTGATACCATTACCTAAATTCAGATTTCCTGAGATGTCCCCGGGGAAGTTGTTATTCTCCAGATCTGGAATCCGATCAAGGATAACCCGCTGACTTTAATCAGTAGGTCTCTCTGCCTTCCCTTAGCGGTCTTTAGCCTTCTGTTTTGATGTTTTCTTTCCTGTCTCTCATTGACATTGCTAATTTTAGAAGTGCAGGCCAATCTGTTTCCAGGATGTACTTAACATTTCCAAAATGTACAAACAACTTCTGTATTGTCTCTTCATCACATTCAGGTTTATGTTTTGTTTTTGTTTTTGCTTTTTTTTTTTTTTCCCTTTTGGAGGAGACTAGCACGTCACATCAGGAGTCAGCTGGCATCTGCCTCTTCCTTGGCGAGGCTGTGGTGACTTATTCAGTGGCGGTGATGGCTGCTCTGTTTCTTTGCATCCTGTCACCCAGCTGTCCTTACCCACTGTGTTCGCATCTGCTGCTTTCTCCTTGACTCAGTTATTCCCGTGGTGACTCTCAACGGGTGATTCTCTATTTCTAGCCTCTTCCTCTTATCTATATTCATTGATTGGCTTCCTTCTCCGAGGAACTTCCTATTCACGACCCACCCCATCTGTATTTGTTTAATGTCATTATGGACTCATGAATTTTCTGTTGTTGGTAAGTATTTAGATTTTTTTTTTTAAGACAGGCTTTCTATGTAGCCAAAGCTAGACTAGAACTCATTATATATCCTAGACTGGCCTTGAACTCATGACCTTCCTACCTCAACCTCCTGACTACTGGGATGACAGACATCCACCACCATGCATGACTTGGATGTATTTTAATATATTCTATTTTCTTTCTTTTTTTTATATGTATGTGTCTGTGCCTGCTTGTCTGTGTGTGCAATGCCATGTGTGTGCAATGCCATGGGACAGAAGAGGGCATCAGATCTCCTGGAACCGAAGTTACAGGAGACCATAAACTGCCCAGTGTGGGTGCTGGGAATAGAGTTCCATCCAAAGCAAGAGTGGCAAGTGCTCTTCATATGGGCCATCTCTGCAGCCCCTTAGCACTCTCTCTCTGTCTCTGTCTCTGTGTGTGTATATGTGTATCTCTCTCAGTCTCTCTGTCTCTCTCTGTCTCTGTCTCTCTCATTTTCTGAGACAGGGTCTCTCTGTGTAACAGCCCTGGCTGTCCTAGAACTCACTCTGTAGACCAGGCTGGCCTTGAACTCACAGAGCTCTGCCTGCCTCTGCCTCCTGAGCGCTGAGATTAAAGGGGTGCGCCGTGCCTGGCTTCCCTTACTACATTCTCTTAATACTTGCTTTTCATTTTAATCCTCAGAACGAAAGCTTGTTCAAGATGGCTTCCTCAGGCCTATTCATCGCCACATTTAAACATACTTTGCATGTTTCTTTTTGAAAAAACAAAATGGAAAACAAACCAAAATTAAAAAAAAAAAACACCTTATTTTCGGGTGACACACATTTTACATCTCATGTGCTTTGCTTAACTTTTCTGAATGTTACTCATCGGCAGTATACAGATCTCTTCTTCACTTACAGTGTGCATGTACACGTATGATAATTGACCTGACCGATCCCTTATTTGGGGCATCAGCTTGTTTTCAACATTTTGCTATTGCCAATAACAAAGCAATGATTGTGCACGTATCTAAGTGTTTCTTTGAGATAAATACCTAGAAACATTAGATATTTGTCAAAGGTTACATACAAATAGAATTCTGTTGGATGTTGTAAGCTTTTCTTCCATAGCCTTTGTGCCGCTCGCTTTTAGCAGTTGAAGTTTATAATAATGCTGACTCCATACAGCCTCCCGGAGAGTTTGTCTGGCTTCATTCAATTTCTGTGTAATTTTCATTTTTTATTATATTATTTATTGACATTTAAAAAAAATAATTTATTTAAATTTGTTTTACGTTCATTGGTGTGAAGGTGTCAGATCCTCTGGAACTGGAGTTATAGACAGTTGTGAGCTGCCATGTGGGTGCTGAGAATTGAACCCAGGTCCTTTGGAAGAGCAGTCAGTGCTCTTAACCACTGCATCATCTCTCCAGCCCTCTTTATTGACATTTTGAAGTAGTGGGATGATACCCAGGGCCTCACACATGCTAGGCCAGTGCTCTGCAACGGAGCCACACCCCTGCCTGTATCTCTAGGATGTCAGAGGTGGAGCATCTTCCCTCTTCTCCCCTTTACTCTCCTCCACCCACCTCCCTGCTCTCTTTTGCTTTCTCTTACCCTGTTTTTCAGTTGTCCTGGACCCCCCTATGTAAATCTTCTTGCCTCAAGTCCATGATGACCCCTCCCTGCCTGCTTCCAGCATGCTGGGATTACAGAGGTCCGCCACCGTGCCCAGCCTTTACTTCTTTTTTTCTAACAGGCTTTTAAAACTTTTCTGACTCCCTTGGCCTTGAGTTCTTTATGAAGCCATTAGTGTTCTATTTCTGATACATGTTGTAAATATTTTCTCTTGGCTTTAGTCTGCAAAGACTCTGCTTCAGTTTTTCCGAGGTTGAATTTGTCAGTTCACTATTACCATGTGGGGCTTGGAGCCCAGGAAGCTCCTCCTACACCCGGGCTGGTATGGCACCTCTGTGTTTCTTCTTGCAGTTCTTAGGACTTTTGTTTATACTGGAAGCAGTAAGGCATGAACTCATTTATATCTTCCCAAGCAATTACCTAATTGTCTTAATTACTTTTCTGTTGCTGTGACTAAGCACCATGGCCAAGGCGACTTATAAGAGAAAGCATTTAATTGGAGTCCCTGCTTACAGTTTCAGAGGGTGAGCAGGGAGCATGGCAGCAGGCAGGTGGGCATGGCGCTGGAGCAGTAGCTGAGAGCTTACATCTTGAGACACCAACCAGGAAACAGAGAGTGTTAACTGGGAATGTTGTGGGCTTTTGAAACCTCAAAGTCTACCCCCAGTGACACACCTCCTCCAACAAGGCCACACCTCCTAATTCTTTCCAAACTGTTCCACTAACTGTGGAAGAAGCATTCAAATATGAGCCTATTGGGGTCCTTCTCGTCCAAACTACCACACCAACTGTCTCAGTTTAATTGTTAAGTATAGCTGCTCTTGAGTGATGCGGGATGTTAAATGTGCACTGGTCCAATAACAATACAGAGAAACCCTGTCTCAACCCCCCCCCACCAAAAAAAAAAAAAAAAAAGAATCTCTCTGTGAAAAAAGATGTTTGGGTGTGGTTTGTGCCTAATGGGGGTTCTGGACGAAGCCCCCACTGTTTGATCTCTTTCAAAGAGCACTTGTTGCTCTTCCAGAGGACCCAGGTTCAATTCCCAGCACCCACACAGCAGCTAATAACTGTCAGTAACTCCAGTTCCAGATGCCCCCTGCTGGCCTCTGAGTTCACTGAACACATGTGGTACACAGACACACATGCCAGCAAAACACCCACACATGTTAAAAATACATGTAAATAAATCTTTTTAAAAAATAAAGTAGAATGTTACACCTGAAAATTGCGAGGAGAAAGGCCAAATTCACAATTGCCTCATTAAAGCAAACTTTAATAAATGTTGACAGGAAAGATGGACACTGGCCAGGTCCACACCCGGGATTCCCAGAGAATGGTGCCTTCGTCCAATCAGGGGCAAGCATACATCCTGAGTACATCCTGCCCATGTACCTCCTGCCTACCTTGTGATCAAGCACATCTTGTGTAGTTGGGGCAACCAATTTTGTTTACTGAAAACACTTGGCTTGTTGTCTGACGTGAACAACAGCCCCCAGCATTCCAGGAAGTTATCTGTCCTTGGGCAAGTGGAGCTTACAGGTTAACTTTAGTCCTCACGATCCTAGAATAAAAAGTAAAGAAGATTGTTAAAGCTTGTTCTCATCAAACAAAGGATCTGTGTCTTGGTGTCTGGTTTCTTAGCACAGGTTTTCTGTGTTAGCATATGGCTCTCTCACCCCACTGCCCTCCCAGCCTCTTAACTTCCGGCGTTCCCGTGTGCTTGCATTTTAGAAGTTCCAGCGTGAGCTAAGCACCAAGTGGGTGTTGAATACAGTGAGTACCGGGGCTCACGTGTTGCTTGGGAAGATCCTGCAGAACCACATGCTGGACCTCCGCATCGCCAACTCCAAGCTCTTTTGGAGGGCACTGGCCATGTTGCAGGTGGGAGCTTAATGGGAGGGCCCCCAACCTAGATTGCCACATAAGGTGTTTTTTTTTTTTTTTCAAAGTCGGGGAGGGGTATAGGGTTAAGAGCTAGTTTTTCACAGGTGTATCTTTCTCGGGCATATCCTCCGGTCTGTTTCGCATGCGCACAAAGGTACATAAGAGTGAAACTATAACTCCCAGGAGACATTAAGTTTCAAGAATGCAATAGAAACCCAACTCTATCCAAGCAGCAATCCCAGCACTCGTGCGGGAGGCAGAGGCAGGCGGATCTCTGTTGAGTTTGAGGCCAGCCTGGGCTACAGGGTGAGTTCCAGGACAACCAGGACTGTCACACAGAGAAACTTTGTCTCAGAAAAGAACTAACAAACAAACTTGTATTGCTGTAAGCCAAAGCCAAAGCCTGTAACTGAACAGTTCCAGGACAGATGAATGCTCTTGTGACGTGACCTAGAAACTTCGGTCTCTAGCTCTGTTTTTCCTCTGAGTTGTTCTCAATCTCGGGTCCATTCTCTTCATTAGGGGCCACAATTAGTGCTAGTCTAACATCCTGACAATCAGTGGGAAGGAGTCTTTCTGTTCCTTGTGACGCCACCAGGGCCTGGTGGAGGGCTCTTATTGGCTTGTCTTGGGTCATGTGCACAACTTTGAACCAATCACTGTCCTTCGGGGAGAAAGGGCTCCCTGCTCATCTGCTTTGAGTGCTTTCAAGACGCAGGTGGGGCGGGATGGGAAATGAGCTTGATTGTATCTTACCGCCTCAGAATGGGGACCAACAGTTATCCAGGAAGAGAAAGGGGCCGATGCCAGAAAGGAGAGCGAATAGATGCTGACCAGAGAACATGTTGGGTGGCCTTGAAGGTTGCTACCCTTGGATCAGAGTTGTAAATCTCACCAATTTCCCATTCCTCATGGGCCAGTGATGGTTCATCACCAACTCCTTTAACTCATTTTTTCTTTATACCTCGTGATTATGGGATTGTCAGAGGGGACAAATTCTCCAGTGTCTTCCGCCAATCTTCAGGAGCCCAACACCCCTACCCTCACCCCCCACCCCCACCCCGCCCACCTTCTCAAATCTCTTCCTTCTCCTGTGTTCTCCGTTCTCCTTGGCATCTGCCCTGACGCGGACTTCTTCTATAGCGGTTCTCTGGACAGTCCAAGGCTTGCTGCATCGAGAGCCTCCTCCAAGCAATCCATTTTCCCCAACCACTGTCAGATGATGTCCGGGCTGCTCCCATCTCCGGCCATGTCCAGGTTGCCCACGAGAAGGAAAAGGTATCCTTCCCCCTTGCCGGCCATTCAACCAACACTTTCTGAGGATCTTAAACATCTTTGGAACTTGGTGTGACACTGGATTTACAAAGCTCAGAGATCCGTGCCACATGGAGCTCCCATTTGGAGGGGTAGGTGGATGGGGGTAGAGGTGGCGTGGGGAGGCATGACTGTGACAGAAACTACAGAGGCACAAAAAGATGCCAACAAAGGGGCTTCTGTTCTGCCTTGAAGGGGCATCAAGAAGGACTGAGAGGCTTTTGCACAGGACTTCTTTCTAGTCTTTGTAACAGCTTCCTATTCTTGCACCCACCTTACCTCCTGTGTCCAATTCTCTGCCTCTCCCAGGGTTCTTTCTCACATAACCTTTTCTCCAGCTCGCCCTGCCCCTTCCCACAGGTGATCCCCACAGCCTTGCTGAGTCTGCTTCTTCGATGCTCCATCTCGGAGGCTAAGGAACGCCTGGCTGCAGCTCCTTCCGTCTGTGAGGTTGTCAGGAGCGCCCTCTCTGGGCCGGGTCAGAAACGCACCACCCGAGCCCTTGGAGACCCTACAGCCTGTAGTGCTGTGAATTGATGTTTCTGGGACCATGAAGGAGGCAGGGCCTTGGTCCATTCCCATGAGGACTTGTGCCAACAATACACGTGGTGGTGGGGCAAATCCAGTTTCGGGGAGTGGGGTGGGGGGAGCACTAACAACCCAGGATCAGGGAAGAGTCCCGCTCTCAGCCGGATCATTTCTACTTTTACTGGCACCTTCTGATCTCAGAAATAAAACTAAATGTCTTGCTTTGGAACCTAACCTTGCAAAAAGTCAGTTATCACAAACAAGGAAAATGGGAGCACCAGGTAATTTCGGGCAAGAGAGAAGGTACTATTCACTAGAGAAGGACAATCCCAATGAGACAAGATCCTTCTGACTAGAATGAATGCCACATCCACTTAGAGACCAGTGAGCAGAGGGCTTTGACTGCACCCTCTCCCTGTGTTTGAAGAAAGAGCAAAGGAACTCTGGATGTGCTGGGGACCCTTTGGTGGTGGGACCCAAAGAACACTAGAAACTTGTCTGTACAGCTTTAGACTTCAGCTACCACGGATTTTGATAAAGAAAGGCACCTGGATTCATCCCAAGTGCAGTCTTCAGTACCTGCAGCCAAGACTCTTACGGTAGAGATCTGGCTCCCCCTTGTGGCAGAGAAATAGCCGATTAAGCGATACCCCAGGACCTCCCCTATAGAGAGAGTTAAGGAACCTTCATTGCTAGAATTATTTTGGGATATTAGAGGGGAAGTCAAGAATCAAGAAAAGTCTTGGAACAAATGAGGTTAAAATGAGGCAAATAAAACCTGTGAATGTTTTGAAGGCTTACAGTGGTTCTGTGGAGTGAACAACAGGGGGTTAGGTCCTTGTTAGGGGATTCTGGGCTTTATGCAGAGCTAAAATAGTTCAGAAATTCGTTAGAATTGGGTAAGGCACGGCGGTGTGTGCCTGTAATCCCTTCATTTTCGAGGATGCAGTAGGAGATTGTGAATCGGAGGCTACATGTCAAGAGCTCTCTCTCTCCCAAAGAATTATCCAGAGACAAATGGTCTACAACTAGCCTCCAAACAGCTAGCACTCTTTGGAGAAAGCAGACATCCGAGGAGATGAAAACAACTAGAGTAGGCAGCCATGATGCCGAAATGTTGATGGGGGGGGGAGGTGGGGAGGGGCTGGGGTGGGAGGGGGGGACTGACCATAGGGTTGAAGATAAAGGCACATGACCTCTTGGGTACTCATTTGCTGCATCAAAACCAGGAGGATTTAGGGTAGGAGACAGTTGGATACTGAACACATTGGAAGTCTAATATCCTGAAAATGGAACACGACCGTTCTTCCAGGTCAGCTAGTTGTTATTTTCACAACTTAGGTGGAATTGGGTTTAGACAGGCTAGCATGGGTCTTGAATATGTTAAAGAGCTGGGTCCTCTGCAAGAACAAGAGCTCTTAACCATGGAGCCTGTAAGAGCTGGGCGGTGGTGGTGCACGCCTTTAATCCCAGCACTTGAGAGGCAGAGCCAGACAGATCTCAGTGAGTTCGAAGCCAGCCTGGTCTACAGAGAGAGAGAGTTCCAGAACAGCCAGAGCTGTTACACAGAGAAACCCTGTCTCAAACAACAATCAAAGCAAAAAGAGTAGAGTTTGGGAGATGGCTCAGTGGTTAAGATCACTAGCTGCTCTTGCAGAGGACCTGGGCTGAGTACCAGCACCCACATGGTGGCTCACAACTGTCTGTAACTCCAGTTCCAGGGGATCTGATGCCCTATTCTGACTCTCTTGGGCACACATGTGGTACACAGACATTCATGCAGACAAAATATCTATACACATAAAATAAATTTTAAAGAAGATGCTAAGGATAGAGGAGAAAGGGTAAATGGGGTTTAGTTACTACTATTACAGCTTTTGTGATTACTACGAAATAAAAAGTGTATTAAAAAATAGAATTCCTGCCAGGCAGTGGTGGTGCATGCTTTTAATCCCAGCACTTGGGTTACAGAGGCTGGTGGATCACTGAGTTTGAAAAGTCAGCTTGGTCTACAGAGTAAGTTCCAGTATGGTCAGGGCTATGTACAGAAACTTTGTCTCGAAAAAACAAAACAAAAGCAGAATTGCTGATTACAATAGCATGTCATGTGTGGGAAGGCTAAATGAATTTAAATATTCTAAGGGCCCTGGATTATGCGTAAGAGAATACATGTTTGATTGATCTAACACTGATCAGTGTGTATAGTGCATTCTAGAAGACACCCAGGGCTGGTGAGACGGCTCAGCAGGTAAAGGCGCTTGCTGCCAAGCCTGGTGACCTGAGTTTGAATATCGGGAGAGAGCACAGGCATGGAGAGCTGGCTCCGTGGTTAAGAGCTCTTGTTGTTCTTGCAGAGGACCCAGGTTCAGTTCCCAGCACCCACATGGCAGCTCACCATCTCTAACTCCAGTTCCAGGGATTCTGATGCCCTGTTCTGACCTCCTTTGGCACCAGGCAGGCGTGTGGTACACACACATACATGCAGACAAAACACTTGTACACATAAAAAGATCTAAATCTAAAAAAATATACTTGAAAAGAGAGCTGACTATCAAGTTGTCCCTTGACTTCCATGTAGGCCACAGTGCAAGTACACACACACACACACACACACACACACACACACACACACACACACAATCATATCACACACACATACAATAAACAGACAAACAGGGCTAGAGAGATGGCTCAAAGGTTAAGAGCACTATCAGCTCTCCAGAGGTCCTGAGTTCAAATCCCAGCAGCCAAACGGTGGCTCACAACCATCTATAATGGGATCTGATGCCCTCTTCTGGCCTGCAGGCAGAACACTGTGTCCATAAGAAACAATAACAAATGTAATTTGTAGAAAGGCATTTAGTGGTGTCGCTTAATAGTAGGATGCTTGACCACCATGTGTGAGGCCCTGGGCTTGACACTCTCAGCACTGGGGGAAAAGCTATTTACTAAAGGCATATATATGGTTTACTATGCTGCCATCTATTCCTTCAGCACGGCCACTTAACTGTGACACAGTGACATGAAACCAACCATAGACACTAGGCAAGTGGACCAAATGGACATATGGAGACTGTATTTATATCACTTGTACAGTATGTCTTGTTTTGGAGCACATGCAGACTGTTTTAACTATTCTAACTTTTCTATGTAATGCTATGGATTAAACTCAACTGCATGCATGCTAGGGACTTGCACTACCGATGAGCAGTGTGAAGAGGCCTAATTTAACATTAGTGAGCCATGACAGGCTGCAGACTAACAATACTGGGGCAGGGCTCACCATTACAATAAGCAGGAAAAACCACGAACTGTACCCTGCGGGGACCAGTCAGAATTAAGACAAACAAGTACTAAATGCTCTGGAACATAAAGGATAGCTTACATCACTTGTATATTGATTGCTGATTTCCTTGCAGTAACACCAGTACCAATCACTGTTTGACAAAACTTGTTACCTCACTCATGGCCAACCTACATCCTAATCCAGAATTCTCCTACACTACACCCCCATCCTAATCTGGAATTCCCCTACACCATCCTTTACTCCTTAAAAATCCTGCCATAAAGGAGCTCAATCCTCTCCCTGATCCAACCACTGCGTTGGAATGTATGGAAAGCCCAAGCTCGAGCTTGCAATAAAGGCTCGTTGCTTTTGCATATGAACTCAGACTCCTGATGGTCTCTGGGGGGCTCATGACTTGGGCAGAACACTGTGCATCCCTAGCAAGGTGGTTAAATATTTAAGACACAAAGAATATCTTTTCCGGACATACTAGGCCACTTGATCAAGAAAAGAACTTTATTTTGGCTCTGAGTTGAAGCAGTGTTGACAGGTCACATCTGGTGACAGACCCTTTGCTGGTAGAGTCCAGATGTGGAACAGGGAGGAGGGCACCTGGCAAGAGACAGGGAGTGTATGTGTATGGATATCCATGTTTGTCTCTTCCCCTTCTAAGGCTACCAGTCTTCGACCATGGGAGCTCCGCTTGCATAATTTTCTGCCTAATGGCCCCTGAAAGGCCCCACTTTTAAACACCATAGTTGAAGTCAGGCTAGTGGTGCTCATGTGCCCTCCCAGCATTTGGATGGTGGAGGCAATAGGATTAAGAAGTTCAAGACCAGCTTTGGCCACATAGCAAATGGAAGACCAGATTGGGCTACATGAGACCTGCCTCGAAAATATGAAATAAATAAAATGATAAACATTGTAGTTGAATTAAATTCCTACTCTCCTGATGCTTCACCATGGGATGAAATTTCACCCCATGAACCCTTAAGGGACACACATTATATCTAAATGACAGGGCCTATAAAGGTCCTTGTCAGGGCTGGAGGCAGCACAATGGTGAGGTACTGAGTTCAGTACCCAGCACCCATATTGTGTGGTTCACAAACATCTGTAAACTGCAGATCTCCTCTAGCCCCCTCACTGTGGAACCTGCACTCATACACACATACACAATATTTAAAATAGCAATAAAAACAAATCTTGAAAGGTTCGTGTTAAAGTGCACGTAAATGTTTTAAGAAACCGAAGGGATATCTCATTCCTAATTCTTCACCAGGACTCCAGGCTGGTATACAGCTAGCACCTGCCACATAGCATGTGCTCAATGTACAAGTCAGAGTTCTTTATAATTAAAATCCTTGTAGAAATTGCACAGTGCTTCATAAAGCACGCACACCGTACTTATTTAACTATTACTTTTTTAGTGGGCTTCCCAAGAATATTAATTGTACTGCCCCTATAGACAGAAAATACTGTGTGTGTGTGTGTGTGTGTGTGTGTGTGGTGGGGGAGACTTTGTCTTCTGAAATGGTGCCTAACAGTCAGTGGTTCATTAGTGTTCCTATATGAAAAGAATAATTTTGATCACATGAATTGATCACATCAATATTGTTTGCACTGTGTTGACTTGATAAGATGGTGTGGTGATCCATGACTACTCTAAACTTGGCAGTGAGACTGTAGATCCTCTAAGGCCACTGCTTAGTGTGATGTCTGTCAGGTCAACAGCAACTAGGCAATGTGGAGACCTGTGAACTTAGAAAACCAGGTGCCTCAAAGTCCCTGAGAGTTCCCACTTCAACTCTCCCAACTCTTAGATTCCACTTGACTCTGTGTTCTAACCTCCAGTGTGAAATTGATGGCCGTAGACCCAATCCCAGTCTATGACAGTGACCAGCTGCAAAGAAACTGGGAGTCAGAACAAGTCATTCTGGAAGACCTTTGAAACTGGACCTCGCCACTCCTTCCTTAGTGACGAGTTTGTCTGCCTGGACCCTAGAAGATTCACAGATGGATTCTTCCCTGAGCTTTGGCTATTAGAGCTCAGAGCCAAGGTCAGCCACAGGGAAGGGCATCAGCTGGGACCTGAGTGTACACTGGCTTTACCTGGTACTGTCTATTGTGATGTCATGACATCTCAGTCTAGAGACAGACACTCTGTAGTTGAGAGGGGCATAGGCTTGAGAAATGTCCCTAATATGGGGGCTCGCTTTCCCATCGCCGACAGATCTCAGCCTTATGCTACTCGGTTTCTTTGTTTATGGAATATGGGTGTTGTTTTCTTGGTATCAGAGCCAGACAAAGGTGGCAGCCAAGACAGAGGTACGTGATAGCCATTTTCTCTTGAAACTCACTTCTCTCCATGCTGGAACCCTATAGGTTTGTCTAAATGCCTATCCTCTGGGCCTTAGGAAGAACTGAATGGAGGGGAGAGGGGGGTTGAGACAGCATTGATTGAGAGCTTCCCCTTTTATTTTTTTCCTTCCTTATTTTGGTTTTCCAAGAC